AGTGGTCCAAGGGGCCGCTCAGGGAGTTTGTGTGTTCGCTCAGACACATGAAAAATTAGAGGGAACATTGCTTGACACTGAAACGTAGAGACATAACTGACTGAGGAGACAGAAAGAACATGGAGATGAGTGACTAGACGAGGAACACGGGGAAGGCAAAGTAACAGAAACCTAAATCCTAGGAACTAAGAATATAACACAAGCAGAACACAATAAAGAGAACCAAAACAATGAATAACAATAATCAAAGAATAAAAATTAACCGAAAAAACACAAAACCCTGGGTCACAGACCCAGTACTGTGACACCTACCTGTCTTAAATAACTGCTCTATTCAAGAAAATCACTAAGGAGGATTCAGAAGCCTTGTGTGTGTTTATAATCTATTATCCATCTACTATCTATAATCTAATGTTTCCAGCAAACTAATGCAATCTTTACTCCTTTTTTCATTGTATTAGTGTTTCCTATCGATGATGTATGCCATCTCCCAGGACATCTTCTCTGTCATCAATCTCTTCAGCTTCTTCACCTGGATGTGTGTTGGGATGGCCATCGCTGGCATGATCTGGCTGCGCTTTACCAAACCCGACCTCAGAAGGCCCATTAAGGTGAACGTCTTAGGGGTTAAAGTAGCTGCTCAGTGCGTGTTGCAGAGAAGATCCATTTTGATGGATATGAGTCTCACTGAAAGGTGACCCTAGCCCTACCTTCCTTGTCTGGCAAAACATCAACATGTCTTCTAGTTTCATAAAGCATCTGCTATTTTTTTTTTTTTAGTGAAAGCACCATTGTATCGCTACTCTTGTTATTAGGTGGAACTGGAAACATACTGTTTTTCCAAGACAGGAGGGAGGGGTATTTGGAGGAATACATGATCCTTTGTTTCTATTTCATCATGGGAAAATTACCTTGGCTGACCAGTCTTTCATCTTCTCTTTGGCCCACACTGCTTTCAGCTCAGTTATTTTATAAAATCATCTATAAACATATTAAAAGAGAGAGAGAGAGAGAGAGCTATTTATATGTAAACCATTCATAAAAAATGTCAGTTTCAACCCAGAAAAAAGAAAAACAAACCGTCAGCTCAAGCAGTTTAACTGATAACTGAATGTAATAACAGTATGGAGCTCTTAACATAACAGTTTAGCCAATAATAATTTCTTCATTGTGATCAAATTGTTGGGGACGCTTAAGGAAAAAGGGTAAGCCAGTATGAGAAAAATACTTAAGTAAGAGTACAAATGTATTTAGTATCAACTATAGCACATATCATTGTTTCAAAATCAGATCTTTAGATGAAGTCAGGCATCATTCAACTTTGCATATACAGTCTTATAGTTTGAATTTGTATTGATTTGATTGATTTTTTTTTTTTTGCATTATTGTCTGATCTGTAAAGTAATCGGTACTGAAAATGTCTTAATATAAAAACTTTAGTAATTATTTGTCTCCTCTTGTTGTTTAATGGAAACAAAGTGGCAGAAAACAGATATCAGTGAAGAAGTTACAGGATCTAAAATCTGAACTTGGGAAGTATTGTCATCAAAATCATTATACATTAGTCTAATCGTTAGCTATAGTTGCATTATTCCAAAGTCCAAATATGATGTTTTCTTCTTTTTCAGTGTGTGAGACATCTTCGCTCAACAATTATAAACTGTATCTTATCTGCTCACGTCTAATGTAAATTGAAACACATCTTCATCTGTTATGTATTTTGTATTTTCTCTCTGCAGATTTCTCTCTTCATCCCCGTTACTTTTGTGTTGAGCTGCGTCTTCATGATCGTCGTGTCCTTTTGGGCAGCTCCCTTCGAGTGTCTGCTAGGCAGCGGCATTATTCTCACAGGCGTCCCAGCGTACCTACTGGGCTACAAGTGGAAAAAACCCCATGTGGTCAAGAAGATGCTGGGTGAGTTGGAGATTTTTTTTGTTTTTTTTAGAGTGAGGCAAAGGTGGTTTGTTGTGAAATTCCTGTGAGATTATCTGCTCAAGTTCTGCTGTGGGCACCGGTACATTTCCTTTGTTTACATAGTTGGTCCGGAGGACTCAGGCAAAAGGCCGACGCAGTGTTAAAAAAATAGATAAATAAATCCAACATTTGACCTGTAGTAGCCTAGCAAAGAGAAAACAGACGTGGCTAACGTGACGAGTTGTTTCTCCTCAGAAATCTTCACCATGTTCTGTCAGAAGATCTTCATGTCTGTTCCTGAAGAGAAGGAGCAACATGGGGCGGCTGAATAATGCTGGACAAACCGAGCAAGATGAAAGACTGGGTCAATATTTTTGTCTGGACATTCCTGTAATGTTTACATTCATCCACATGTGATCGGACTTTTTTTGTTTTAACTTTATCTGACCAGGCAGGTAACTGTGAACATATTCAATATTCGCAAGAGTGGCCTGACAAATGGAGGATTTGTTTTATGAATATTTGATGAATACTGCAACTTTTCTGCAAAGAAGACCACCGGGCATTTTACACTCCTTATTATGAATTGATTTTAATATTTCAGCATATCTCCTTAAATGGTCAAACATGTTGTTGATGTTCCATGTTAGTTAATGGAAAGCCATCTGTAAGTGTATGACTGCTGCAGACATATAATTACTTGTGTACTGCAAGTACACAATCAGGAGCTGCAGTGGCCCGTGACATACAGGTATATTTTTCTCCTGAAGTGTACAAATGAATAGCTTAGGCGGGAAAATATATGTCTAATACCACTAACAACCAAACTAGACATAGTATATTATAGTTTAGGGTTTATATTTATAGTTTATATTGTGTTAAAATAAAGGATTTTGCTATAGTTGCTATAATAACGTCACTTAGAGTTTATAACTAAGGTCAGATTTGGAAGAGGAAGAGGTTGTCTAACAAAGCACTTACTTCATTTTCTCATATGGTACTAATGTTTGTGTTAAATAGTAATTCATTCTCACATTTTACTTGATATTGTTTTTTTATTTATTGGTAAGATGAATTTGTAGCGCTGTCGTAAAGCACAAGCTAAAGGGAGATGAAAGAGTGTCTGTAATGTCTGCTTGAGCTGCACTGGGAATCAGGTCCGTTTCTTGTATCATTTCATTCTGATATTAAACCTCATCGGCGCCACGTGTGACGATACTCGATGAAAACGATACCAGCATCTCCGCTTGTGCGCCATTGTTGTGAGACGGCGTAGATATGCTCAGATATCGTAGTAGTGTTCGTAGTTAGCCTTAGTGTTTGTACTGAACGTATTTGATGTCTGTGCCAGCCGTGCCAGTGCTGATATTCTATTTCTTTTTGTCACTGTATGACCAAAATGAATGTTGCAACTTTAGAGATGCTGGCTTTGCTTGTAATTTTTGTAGGAAATGTACCTGGAGAGAGGTTTGAGGTTTTCCCAGCGTATTTCCTGGTCCAGTGAAGGCTTGGGAAGGGAGGAGCTTCTGAGGAATGTTAAGGGGGATTGGAATCATGTGGAGTGGGAAAAAGGTTTCTTACTTTTGCACACAAAGGAGAGACAGTCTCCTTACAAATCTACCACAGATGTACGTATTGTCAGCCTACTCACTGTGCTGGCAGTCCAGGTTTCACAGGCCCCTTTCCAGTGAAGGGAAAGGTCTGAAAAAACATACTAATTCATACTGGTTGCTATTCCTTTAACATTAATGCAGAAGAAGCTTTCAGACAAGAACAAAAGAAAGTCTGTGAGAAAAATGATCTTTGACATTCTCACTAGTAACATCAGACTTTCCGTGGTGAGACACAAACAGCTCTTCTTTTTCTTTTTTTAACGGAACCCTCTTTAATCTTATTTCTATAAGTTAATGGAAATGTGAAGTTTAAATACAAACATGTAAGTACATTTGCAATTAGCATGCAACAATATTTCTCCCACTTAAAGTATTTAATATGGATTCTTTATTAATGCAGATTGCATACAGATTTAAAAAGAGAATAGCTGAATGCAAATGCTTGCAAAGTTGGCACTGTGGCCATCTTTAAAGGTGAGCTCTCTGAAAGCACACCAATGAACAACACAGTCCTCGAAGACACGCCCCTTACTTAATGAATCTACTTAAATTAAAGCCCTGAACACACACGTGTGTCTAAAAACACACTGATTCCAGTTACGATGATAAGCGGTCTCATATATTTTATTTTATGCACAACGTGCTGCATCGGTGTGTGTGCGTTTGTGTGTGTAAAGTATTACTATATGTGAAAATCAATAACGCAAATGTAATTGAGAATAAAGGGAGCTCATATTTTTGATTCTATAATCGAGAGTACCTATTGTAACTGTTGTCTGTGAGTGACCATAGTAGGTACTGTACGTGTAAAAAATAAAACTATTTTGTTCAAAGTTTGATTGTTTGCGCTTTTGTAAAGCAGACGGCCAACAAAAGGAGTCAGAGGATTAAAATCTGATTGCTTGCTCCTGTAGAAATGCAGCAGCTGGTCGACAAAAGGCCGGCCGAAGCCCCTCTTCAGGCACCGGCTTCAGATAAAACAAAGATTCTCTGAACATGACATCCTAACGTCCAAATGAGGATGTTTCTCAAAATAGCGTTATCATCTCAGCCATCAAATGTTTGGTAGTGCTCTGTGTCACATGCACATTGCTTCTTGTTTGTCCTGTCTTGTTTGTTGGCTCTCAGACAATGACGCTGCCGACCCGCTGTGCTGTCAGGGGACTTCATATCCGTCTGAAGAGGAAATGAGACGGCCCGATGGCTGCTGATGGAGCTCTTATCAGAGCTGCTGGACACAATATTAGTGATGGGGGATTGGACAGGCAAGGAGCCGATGAATGCGCAAGTCACGTCTACAAATACAGAGTATTTTGATATATTAAGTGAAGATGGAGGTGGGGAAAGGGTTCAAAGCATTTTCAGAAGATGTGGTGAAGTCGAGGTGTTAGTGTATTCTTTGTCTTGAAGACAGTGTGGGTAAAATCATTTTTTTAAAATATGTATATAAAATTATACAATTAGTTTAGATTACAGAAAGCCGACTATTGCAAATGTTTTTGTTATAACATAAGATCATCGTTTTAAAGCTTCTAAAAACAAAAAAACTTTCATCTGCTTTTGGCATCAACATTAGGGCTGTGTAGCCAACACTAGATTTCACCAGCAGGTGGCGATAGAGGCCCATCAATAGAAAGATGATGGCGAATCACTGAAAGGAAACTGCCGAACTACGGTAATCACCCACGCAATAAAACAACAAAACATATTCAACTTAGAACATCTGCCTTTGAAACTGTGCAAACCTTATTATTAATATTACTAATCTCTACGTTTCCGTTCACAAATTATTAAATTAGTCTAACAAATGCTAGTTTACCTGTGTTTTAGCAGAGTATTTTTCCTAAGACGAACATGCTGCAGATGAAGATGAGCCATGGGTGAGGGTTGCTCAAGGGCACAACTGAAGAGGGAATGATAGTGAAGCCTTTGATATCCTTTATCACTGTTAAAACACATCAGCGTCCCACTTTTAGGAATCTGATTTACTATAATTAAAGTATCTTTCTATTTTGAGGGTTTAGGGCAAGGATGTCAAACTCATTTTATATTTTGGTACAACCCATTTTGATCATAAGTGGGACAGACCAGTGAAACTCTCCTGGCTGTTAGCGTAAAGAAGCTTAACTACACATTTAATCCCAGAGACATTTTAATATAAGAACACGAAACTCAGTTTGAGCAGTACATCTCAGATTGTCTGCATGTGAAATAACTGTTGCTCTGGACCTAAACTGCAAGAAATAAATGTTCTGTTAGCTTATTGCACAAACTGTCATATAGTTATAAAACAGAACATTTGTAATAATTGACAGAATGACGTTTTTTAAACATGATTTTTTACAGTAAATCTACCGTAAAAACCAAACATTTCTATAGCATCTGGCGAAAAAAAACAGGCACTCTGTTATTTCTTTGTATATCTATTACTTGTTTACTCTGACTCATGGGGGAGTGCTTTAATCAGTAGAAAAAGCCATAAAACTTATGAAACTATAAGCTTGTAAACATTTTTTATATTTTTGTTCTTTACATTTTCGAAAGCCGTGTAATGCATCAGATTGGAGTCTCTGACAGGCCCATTCTGGCCCCCGGGCGTTATGATAGACACTCGCTTTAGGGGAACTAACAAACTGGGAGGTTATAGTTTTGTGAATCGGCTCTAGGGGGCACTGCGCCATCACCACGATGGAAAGAGAGAGCAAGAGGGCAAAAGAGAGAGGGGGAGTAGAAAGGGTAGAGAAAGCGCTGATGCGAAAGGCTGATAGATTCCATTTCTATTTTGCCTTTAATCCAACTGTGAAATTCATAACTAAAAGGCAGATTTTGTTCTTCTTCTCAGGTAGTTCTCTGAAAGGCCGTGTACTGCTGCATCAACTCTGAGTTTCATCATGGCACCTTTTAGCAAAAAAAAACATGGCCAGGGGGCAGGAAAAAAATGTTGCTTGGTGTTTTATATTGATCTAGTCTGGATTTTATGGGGTGGGGAAGAAAAAATAGAAACAGCGAAAAGGTTAAAAGCACGTTAAATGAAGTTACACTATCAAGCCTTAACTTTTCACCTAATGAGCCATGTGACAGCAGCTACATCAACTCCTGCTACATCAAAGGTAATTCTCCTAATTAACCCCAGACACATGCAGGGGGAATGCAAAGTTGCGTTTACAGGTTGCTGTAGCGATCAGGCAGAGCTCATCAAAAACACTAATGAATCTGTTAAGACTTAATGACAGCCATGCAGTCAAAAACAAGCAGAGACGCACACCTTTTTTTGTTTTGTTTTTCACTTTAAACATTTTATTACAGACAAAAGAAAACAAAAAGAAGTAATTGTGACACAAAAAAGAAAAGAAAAAAGAATCTAATGCTGGTACATTAGCACCAACAGCAGTTTTTGAAAAAATATTATTCTAATAATCATGTAGTTTGATCATTAATAGTAATAATAATAATAATAATAATGATAATAATAATAATGCACCCTGATGAAAATAAGCCAAAATTTTACTTCATTTCATTTATAAATAGATGTGGAACCTGCAACCAAATTAAATAGAATGACCATATGATATTTAACAAAAACATAATGGGTTCTCTCATCACTGGCTTTAAAACTTTAAAAGAAGTATGTTTGGCAGGTTTATACACAAAATTAAAATATCTGTCCTGACGAGCAATCCTCTGAAACAAAATCCTGCTACAGTGAAAAAAAAGAAAATCTTAAAGAATTATTTTTCTTTACAGAAAAAAAAGATAAAGATGAGTTCAACACAATTCTAAAACACCTAATAAAACTAGTCAAAAACTTTAAAACCCACTGTTATGTTTTTTTTTCTTTTTTAACCTTTAGTAACATTTCACATTTAGCAACTTTTTTTTTGTTTTTTTTTGTTATTCACCTGTACAAGTGGTGCTGGGACTAAGGGGTGGCTGGGCGGGGTCACAGGTGTAGGGGAGGAGGGTGTGGTCTTTACTGACCTAGTAAGTAGGAGGAGCTAAAAGGAGAGGTTTCAATCTTTGACCTCTACAGTTCTGCAGCGTCCTGAGGCCATGTGAAGAGAGTGCGACACTCTCTACCGGAGCTCTGCCAGCTGTGGAGGAAATTGAGCATTTTGCAGTCTTTGCATTTCCCTCTTTATTTTGGAGAGATTTGAGACTGGTGAACACAGTTTCAACACGAGTTTTAGTGTGTGTATTCCCTCACTGAATCCGCCTGCACAGAAAAAAAAACAATTGGAAAAAAAGAAAAAAGAAAAAGGCAAGGGACTGCAGCTAAATACACACATAAGAGGAATCCATTTTGGTGATATTTACAATCACGCTGTGATAAATAAAGGAAAGGATGAAGTCCTCTACTGAGGGCAAGGATGATTTACAAATGCGTTTGTGACTATACCTTCATTTTAAATGTCGCTTTGCTTTCAGTCACTTCGGGTGTTTCAGTCTGTCCCGAAGAACATCCACCCCGATGGGGTGACTATATTCTATTTTCCTGCATTAGCTTTTCTACCCAAGACCCTACACTTGGAGTATGCTTTGAGCATTTTAACTCCCCAAAACAAGGGCAGTCCATGGCAAACAGCGTAATGGAGCAAAGAGGAGTGGAATCATCTTTAAAAAAAAAAATCTAGACAAAACGAGAAGATGTTTTTTTTTTCTTTCTTTTTCTTTTTTTTTTTGGTCTTCATTTCCAGTATGTTGGCATGAGCTTAAAACTCACTGCCCCCTCAAAAAATGGAAAGTTCACTGATAAGGAAAAAAAAAAGCAAGAGAAGTGCCTCGGGCTTCTGGCCGATCTAAGTGCTTGGCAAATAGGTGAAGTTACTGTAGCAGTCTTTGGGATTTTTGAAATCCATCAGGAAAAAAAAGAGAGAGAGAGAGAAAGAGAAAAAAAATGGTGTAGAAGCAGATACATCGATGATGTTGTTGTTATGTTAGAAAGCTCCCTGGAGTCTGACATTTGGAGGTCTTTCAACTTCAAGTGAGGTAGAGAGGCTTGTCTCGAGCTCCCATGCCGCTGCTGCTGAGGAAAGAAAGAAAAACAGCGTTAATGTATGGCTGGATATACACGTGTGAATACGGGGGTGTTATCCTATATTTCACTGGGAAAATGCTGAAGGATTGTTAAACATTTGTCACGGTGGGACTGGCATTAGAGAGCGGCTTCAGAACAAACATAAAAGCTGACGATGAAGCGCGCACATCAATAAGCGTGAAGCCAAAATTTGAAGATCACTTGTTACTTGAAATGTCAAACACAAAGTCTGTTCTCCAGTTATCTCTACTGACATACTGGAGACAACTTAGCTCCCTCCAAAACTACAAACTACAATGACTTGACACTGAGAGTAAAGGTTTAAGCAAACACCCAATATTACTTCAAAGACTGTCAAACATGATTTGACCTAGGCGTGATCCCGTTTGACATCCAGATGAATCAGCTCTAAATACAGGAGACGCTGACTTCCAGCTCAGCTGCCTCTCAAAGTAGCGACGCAGCGTTTCAGGTGTGAGACAAAACATTCTTCTCGTGCCTGCTCGGATATCTTGATTCAATAAGGCAACGTGTGCCGAGCGAAACGGGGGGAAACTTAATTGGATGTCACACTTTTTTCCAAGCTTGGTAATAGCATTGTTCTACTGCTGCATTACTCATTTCAATTTCAAGGAGATGCTTTGCTTTAGCAGGGAAATTGCAGTTTATGATTAATACTGTCTGAGTCTCTGAGTGTGAAAGTGAAGTGGTTTAGAGTAACTCATTTGGAAAATGAGTAACTGTCAGACAGCTGCTTAGTATTCTCAACAATCAAATGTCTTGGATTGCACTCACAGAGGGACAGAGCTTTTTGTGTGTGTGTGTGTGTGTCTGACTCTGTAATTCCCATAAGGAAAGAACTAATATACTAACAGCATAATATTGTAAGCGGTGCAAAGAGCTCACCTGCAATGGTTGGGTCCGCAGTCCCTGTTGCAGTACTCGCTATCCCAGTCGGGGTTCTGGCCGTGCACTGGATTGGGGGCCCCGGGAGACTGTGAGCCCCCAACACTGTTCTGGTAATCAGCTTGAATATGGGAGAAACCCTGCAGATAGCAGGAGAGGCGAGATGAGCACAGGATGTTACACGACTTCAGCTTTATGATGGCCAGCCATCAGAGTTTGCTGAGCCATGATACTGTATAAGGCTAAATGTTGCCACTGGTCTATATGAGTTGTTACGCATTCACATTTGGCCCCATTGCATTGACGAAATCACCCTTCTTAGTTTGGCAAGACACCCTGCTGCTGGAATGGAAACATTATGGACTCAGAGGGAAAAGAGAAAACAGTTTGATTGAGACTAAATGGGTCTTTTATGCGTTAAAAGAGGAATTGAGAACTCTTTATTAGAGAGCGAGGCTTTACTGGAAGTTTTTCCTCTTTAGAAAACAGCAGTAACCGATGAATAACTGTTGTTGATTTTATATTAAATCACAACGGGAGAAGCATTAGACGCTGAATATCTATGGAAGCTAATTAGGAAGTAAATAAAGGTGATGATATTTGTATATTTGTATGTGAAGTGAGTCTAGAGGAAACACAAATCCCTTTGGGGTTATATAAGGAATGGGCATCTGGTGGAAAATATCTGGCAAATGAAACATGCAGAGCTACTCGAGTGGCGACCCAACAATCGAGAAGCTGAAAGTAGCTCATGATGTCTGCTAGCATGTGTGTTGTTGATCATCTGTAGAAGAAGCATGCATAGTGAATTTTAATAACAGCTAGACCAACCTGTTGGCTGAGAGGAGGGGAATGCAGAGGTGCCTGGAGCCCCATTTGGTGCGAGATGATTGGTTGCGACTGCTGCATTCGGATTGGCTGGTTGAGCAGGGAGCTCTGATGCAGGGAGAGCTGAGCGTGCGGATGCAGAGGTGGGCTGATTTGGAAGGGTGCTGGGGGAGAGGCACTCATGCTGGGTGGGAGCATCTGGGACTGGCCGAGGGTCTGCGCCAGTGTGTGGCGGGGTGGCCCGCCGTAGCTCTGGAGGTCTGACAGGGGAAAGGAGCCCGGCGGGCCCAGGTACGGTGAGGAGGGCTGAGGGGGCACGCTGTACAGAGGCTGCTTGGGGGGCATCATGTGGGAGGACTGGCTGGTCTGCTGGGCACTTTTTGGTTCAGGGTCATTGTATGTCTGTGGATGAAAATACATCATATTAAGACAAGAAAGGCCCCATTAAGGACACTGCACTCATCAGCCAATATTCATCTGATAATAACACGTCTCCCTCATTCCTTTTAAAGAGAAACTTTTTTTCCCCCGTCATGCTCTGTATTGTTGAATAGGTTTTATTTTTTTTAAACTGCACGCATTGTTATGCTACAGGAAAGTGCCAGCAAGCAAACCAGGTCGTATCTGTTTCCTATCACAGCCACAGGGATATCCTGCTATTTTCCATCATACATTTTTGTTGGACTTACAGAGAATTATTTTTTAAAGCAATAGTTTGAGATCTTTGCTTCTTTGCTTTCTTTCTAAAATTTCGATGAGAAAAATCAGCAGATCCATGCAGCTGTTTCCCCTGATCTAGTATTTATGCAAAGCTGAGCTAGCTTTCTTATTAAGCATGTAGGTATGTAATAAAGGCTTTTTCATCTAATTAGAACCTAAACAGGCTATCTCCTAAAGCGTTACATTTACTGCTGAATTATTTGTGGAAAGCTTGCACCCTTGCACAAATTACTTTCTTTATTGACTGAGGCTTTGTTTACTAAATCTCTACGAGGCTCCAGGCTGTGCGTAAAATATAATCTATATCAATATTCATAATGCGCAAAATATGAGAATAAACCCCTGCTGGATTTTTCTTTTAAGCATGCGACAGTTGTCACCTCTACACCCATGTAGAGGAGCTGACAGATGGGCAAAGATTGTACAGATTAAAAACAAAAAAATCGTAAACTTCACCAAAAAACCCCTCCGAATTTGACCTTTCCCAGGCTGGACAGTACCACACTGAGCAGGAGCAACACCCGTAAAACACCCCACCCTCTCCAGGCTCCCGTGATGAGCTGTCAGATTGCTCATCTCCAGCCATCAGTGTTGATTAGAAGGTAATGGAGCCCATTTGTATGAATAGAGCAAGGGGCCGAGGTAATGATCAATACACACCTTGACAGATAGATGGGAAAAGAAGTGGGACACACACACCCACACACACACGTGCACACACACACATACATATATGCAGGACCCCAGGCAGAGAAATGAGACTGTTTGCCTGCAGAACAAATGGAATGACAAAAGGAATCTTCACCACACTACATTGTGTGTTGTTAATACAAGACGGCACTAAACAATGCAATTCGCAGCCCTCCTCCTTGCCTTTCGTTATTCCCTGTGCTGCGTTGCTGGTTTATACAAACCGGCATCATTCATGGGGCAAAAAGGATGTCATAGATCTGAATTAGCGGGAAAGTGTCAGAGGTGGGAATAGCAGCAAAGCCCACAAATGCCTCTGTTGATTTGGATGTGCTTCCAGCTCTAGATGACGAGAGGAGGAACTAATGCAGGACACAGGTAAATTAATGATTGCTTATTTCCAAAGATACATACAGTACAGAGTATCTGATAGCCCACATAGCGCATAAGAGAGTTATTATATTGTCTTCTCTAAGCCGCATACACATTATGGCCATTATGGATGTGTGCTTTGACTGGCCGACCCCTCCCCCAACCCTTCACCCTATATCACCATACCAACTACAAACCCCTACCCCCACTGTGCACCCTATGGAAATCAAGTATTGTTCCAAATAGGGCCTGTACTTTGAGCATCACATGCCCCCCCCCAACCACACTCTTTTTCACCACCACCAGCTCATGCGAAAGAAGGTCCTCCCAGCCCATTAGCAAGTATTTTACATCCAATCCATCATCAGTCTTAGCCAGGGCCTGTGTGTCATAAGCGTTACCTTGGAAACCAGACTGGCTCGGTACGCGGCCAAGGCTTTCAGGTACTCTTTCTTAGCCGCCTCGGTTTTCCTCTTGTACCCCTGTGAAGAAATAAAATCAAAACAAGAGGCTTCAGGTGAGAGCAGAGTTTGACTCGCTCATAAACGTGCAGACACACACAGACACACACATCTGTCAATAAACACACACACACACACGACTTTTTTTTAAAGGCTACTCTAACACTCTCTTAAACACATCCTGTGCACATGAACATGCACGCACACACAAACATACACACACATACACATAAAAAGATGCTTAATGTTTCCCTTTCCATCAGAGCCAATGGTACAGAACACCTCTATTTCCTCATCACAGCGCTAATACTCCCTCATCTCAATGTGTCTCTCTCTATTGTAGCGACACATCATTTCCATTCCAATCCACCTAGAGAAATGAACTGGAACTTCTCTCTCTCTGTCCCTTTAGCTCCACAATAACACTATCAGTACATTAGTGATAAACCAGAATGGTTGTTGTCATTTGGCACATTACGATGTGAGTTTTGTTTGAAACTGCCTTTCATATTGTCAGAGGGATGTACAAGCCTCTGATGTCATGTGTTTTCCAACAGACTGAAGTGTGTTTGCATGAAGAATGTGAGTTTGTGAGCGCACATGGACCTCTGCGTGTGTGCTGTTATACAGGTATTTTCTGCCAGCATATATAGGTGTGTATATATATATATATATATGTAATGATGAGTGTCTGTCTGTGTAGGATGCAACACCATGATGGAAAATGGTGCTATTAACTATAAGGGCTATGAGGCAAAATGAGGCAAAATTATGTCTATTATGCAAAACAAAAAGAAAAGATAGAGAAAAATCCTTCTTAGTAGGAAAAAAATGTGTTTATATACTGTACTGTTGTTGCAGTACTGGAGCCGGTATGAACACATTTACTGATATCAAAATGATACTTTTCTAAATGTTTTGCACAAACACGTCTATTCATTCAGCAAAGGACCTGAAACTTTAATAATCTTAAAAGTTTTCTGAGAACAAGCCACAATGCAGGAACTTGAAATCTTTTTATGTGATTGATGTACACTGGTAAAGCACTAAGCTAGTCTAGAAGCTACACAGGAGCTTTGCAGAGCCCTGTCTGAACTCTTTTACATCCTTTCCTAAAATTACACTTTGTTCATCCCATGAAACAGACGATTTAATTAACAGCTAACAACTGCGATTTCTCTTGCAGGTGAAAACCCACGAAAAATAAAGTGATGGCCGTCTATATCTGTCATCAGTATTACTTCCCACCTATTACTGCTGAACTGAAACTAGAGATCATGTCGAATAGAGAAAAAAAAACAATAGATTGCTCCTCCTGGATAGCCAAGATGCCCTTCAGCTCAATCCAAGGATGAGTCGATAGTGGAGGGAGCTCACTAATTCTGTATTCTAGGCAGGATCAAAATAGAAGGCGAGAGATATAAATAAAGAGAGTGGAAATGAGAACTTCACACATTCCAGCTTGTCAGAGGGCCAATGAAGATACATATTGTGGAGGCTGGTGGGACAGAGGAAATGGGACACTACCTTGGCCTAGCGCTTTGTGGGAGGTTTTTTTTTGGCAAAGATGAGTTTCAATTTTTCTGTTTTATTTCTGGAAAAGCCGTTTTCACTTTCTATGGACACTACACTGCTAAGATAGATGGCTTTGATAGTAATCACATTCACATGTGATTGCTTGCTTTTGCAGAGGTGCGCGAGCGCGTGAGTATGTGTGTATTTACCTCCTGCATAACATTATCAGTCCTAGACTCTTTAAATCTCCCCAGGCATGTTTATATTTTTCCCATACTGACCATTTCCTGCCTATAAAATGTCCTACTTTGTTAGTCTCAGACTGTTTTATGGCTGTTGTTGCAGAGAACACTCCCCCTCCCTCCGCTTCCTTCCCTTTGGTAGAATTAAATTTAGAAAGAAAATCATTTTAATGAGAGTCAGGGGAGTGGGGATAAACGGATGGATTATCTTTGGAAAGAGAAGAACTAGCTCATTAAGGTGAGCTGTATCTCACAGCAATGTTCTGGTAATTACACGGCAGATAATGCCAACGAAAGGCTGCCTGCCTCTGCTGCAGCACATGCGCCATCTACTGGAGCGACCGCAATCAAAATGTGTACGCGTGTTTGCGTCATTGCACACTGTGCGTGCTCCCATCTGGAAAGCTCATTTTGGTGCCTAGACTTTTGCACAGCATGTTGTTTTAAACCTTCTGCACCTACACGAAATAGTTTTTACCTGCTTCTGTTCTTCGCCTAGGCTGTCCCACATGGAGGCCACGATCTTGGACACGTCCCCGAAGGTAGCATTTGGGTTTTGGCCCTTGATGGCTGCTTGGGTGTCTCTGAAGAAGAGCGCATATGCAGACACGGGTTTCTGTGGCTCATTGGGGTCCTTCTTCTTCTTCTTCTTTTGAGGTTTGGGTTTGGGCTTCATCATTTCTGCTGAGGGTCGCTTCTCACTGCTTATCTGAAGACAGAAGAAATGGATGGGGAGAAAGAGAGACAAGGAAACCGTCATAAATCACTTCATAATATCAGCTACCGCAGAAAGAAGTTTTATGTGCCCGATGCATTGGTTGGACAAGATACTCTAGTTTTTCCAGGCCATCATGTACAGTATATGTAGGTTATGCACAAACATACAATTTTGCACAATTTTAGAGAAAGTTGGACTAAATTTCAGTAGCAACCAAAACGTGCCAAAAACGGCGGTACTTTTAGTGTCCAAACTGATCTACACAGATTCTTGTGGGAAGCACAGTCAGGTGCTTAGCAGCACTGTTGCCTCACAGCATGGTCCTGGATTTGGATCCACCGACCAGCTGGGGCCTTTCTGTGTGGGCGTTGCATGTCTTCTCTCCAGGTAGGCATGGGTTAGGTTAATGAACAATTCTAGATTGGCCATAGCTGTGAATATATACCCTGCTTTTCACCCTATGACAGCTGAAGTGACCCCAAATTGGATATGTGAAAAAAAATTGCTGGATAGATTCCTGTGTTATTTACTTTTCAGCATAAATAAAATACTGCCAGTGATACCTACTGATATAAATGTGAAAATCCCACATGACTTCCTTCTTGAACTATTAAGTCGAACCTTTTGCCTGTCTGGCAACCCGGATGCCAGCCTACCTAATAGTGTGACGACAACACCACATCAGCTTTTTACGTCTGAGGGGTAAACAGCTGTAAAAAGATGGTTTTGGTCTCAATAGCTAATTAGCCACTTAGCTGAGTGGGAGGATTTACAGTTCCACTCAACCTTGTGAACGTTAAGGTGTAAAGTTCAGGGTGTGTTCACTTTGACTGACAGGTGGAGGAAGGCAGACATCTACACCTCCACTAAACTCACTGAACTTGACCTCTTGCCTTGTTTGTGGTGCCTTCAGGATTTTAGATTTAAATGCAGCTATGTGATAAATACAGTAATCTTAGTTCCAGTTTAATTTAAGCAGGTTTGGGTTATAGGGACATTTCCCAGTAAGTTTGCAAAATGTCACTAGTTGCTTAAATTAATGGCTGCAGAATTAATAGATATTTTATATTTTCCTTTTTTCCTCCTTTTTTAAAAAAATGCTTCTTTCAAGTGTACCAGAAATAATGGCATGTTTTCAGGAAACCAGCAGAGAGGGAATTTTCCACACACCCAGTTTGTCAACAATAATACACTGCAATCTCTCGACATTTTCAGGAGGCAAAACTGTTCACATCTGTGTGATGTACTTGATCCAATACACATGAATACATTCTCATTTTCCATGCAGGGCTTTGACTGGGAGTCAAATCCAGGTCACCTGATGCTGGATGTGATTCTATATGGAAATTGCCTTCTTTACGGAGATGAACGGAGACGGGAGACGGAGCCAGGAGAGAGAGGGAGAGAGAGACGGTGAAGAAAAAGTGATGGCTTGATGTTGCCATTAGTAGCAGTGAAACATCAGTTAACCTGATTTCCTGGTTGCCCTAAAGGCAGAAAAAAAACAATCTAATTTCCATCCATATCATAGAAATAATGACATGCGGAATATATGATGATATACATTGGTATTAAGTCAAATGAAAGATGCTGATGTGCACTCGTTGCGGTTGTCGGGTTACGCCGAGTTACTCAAACGTTGTTAAGAGCTCTGAGGGAAGTGACAGTGAATTCTTCTCTATTTTGGCAAACGCGCATCATCTCCAAGGCCAAGTTCCTGTTTAATCATGTTGCATTTTTAAAAAAACTTCTAACCATCTTTGAATGTTTGCTTTCATAATCCACTCATCCAGGGGTTTCAGTGGTAAAGCTCAGTGTGGGTGCAAACCGTGAAAAAAGATTTGTCCGCGCGTGAGTATCGAACAGCAACTTTAGGACATTTAAAGACGTTCATTTCCATTCAGTGCATACTTATCACTAGATTAAGCAAAGGCCGTGTTTTCCCCTTTCACCGTCGATTGGAAAACAAGAAACGACTGCCTTTGAAAACTGCATTGTTTTTAGCGAGGCATTTGCCAAACAACATACTGTATTCCACACAGCATGAAATTAACTAATCAAAATTCAAGGTCCAGGAGCACATTTGGCAGCTAAGGAAAACTTCAAAATGGCCTTTGTGGTGTGAAATGAATGAATGTTCCCCATTCAGGATGATGTGAAAGTATTGCTTGTCTATTTCACAGCTTACAGGTAATATTCTTTTTTCCCCCCCGTGCGAGTGTGTGCGGTTTCATTAAAAAATAATCATCCCTCACTTTTAGGCAATGAGGCAGAAGACAGGCATTTGAAACGACATCTGTTCCACCCAAGCCTTTGAAGTGAAAATAGAATAAACTGAAGGTAGAGCTAATGGAATGACAAAACATAAAAAAGAAGAAGAAGAAGGCTAAATAATCGCCAGGAAAATTCACATGTATTCATACAGAGGAAAGAATGATGACACACAACAGCCCACAGCAGAATGCAATCAACCAGGAGAATAAAGGGCGTATTCTTTCATTTCTTTCTTTATTTCCACGTCTTATAATCAGAGATTCATGTTCTCAGCTCAAGTATATACAGTAAAAAGCTGACAGTGACTCTGAAAGATTAATAAAGATGGCTCACATACTTCTAAAGAGACAACAGTAAGTGAAAACTGCTCACTCTGCACAGTATTAATAATTTTCTCCCAGAAAAATAAGCAGGAAAAAAAAATCACCCCCTCAGATGATTAATTTGTTCTCATCTTTCTTCAGCATGTTTCATCTAAATCTAATTGTGAAAGTGGTTTCCTTCATTTATGAGATTACCTTTATATATAAATATATATGTATTAAAAAAAACAACTTAATGTAAACTTCTCTGCAAAAAAGGCAATTTAACATCGGATCTTTTTTCTTCCTTAACAAAGTACCACAGAGAAACACTTTGTATTAGAATATTAAACTAGGCCCACTGGCCTGTCATTTTGCCTGCTAAATAATCTTTTTGTTTTAATGCGCTCTGCCTGGTTTCCTCACACTCGAGCCCTGAACACCTATTAAGAGAAAACTCCACAGCTTTGACTTTATATTTAAGAAGACCAGTCTCATTAACCGACACAGTCTTCTGTAAAACGAAATATCTTTCAAATGAGAAAGTGAAAAAGTGATCGCAGCCATATTCATCACTATAGTTTTTTCTTTCTGGCCCTGCAAACTATCGACGCTGGATAAACACTTACCCACCACACAGCCAACTACACAATATCAAGCTTATTTTGCCGGGTTCTCTCGTGCAGGTGCAGTGAACAGTAATGATTATGACAGCTGTTGTTGTCAGTTGAGAAAAAGAGACAGTCACATCCCTTATTCATAATGCAACGTCTCGTGGCTCCAGTGCATTCTGGTCTATTTTCTGATACTGCTACTGAGAAGACTGGTATCTTGTGCTCTTGCGAGATGGACTCTCTATGCAAAATGTCAAAACTTGAAACTCTTTTTATTATATGCTTACAACAGACAGATTTTAACGTGACTGATATTTATTTCTTGTCTTGCATCACTGTTATTGTGCTAAAGCTAGCTTAACATATGATGCCATGTTATTTGCCAATTTATTTAGCCATCATTTTTATCTTTTATCATTTTGAAACACAAAGGGAAATGTAAAACGTGTAAATAACAAACTGTGGAAAAAAGTACCAAAGCAAATCCACCTGTAACAATTTACCATGTCTTTGGCATTTACATATAAGATCCGGCATTCACATTACAGACAGGCCAGACCAGACAGGTTTATTTAAGTATTTCAGAAACTGTTGATCTACTGGGATTTTCCCACACAACCATCTCTAACGTTCACGGTAAATAGTCCAAAAAAATATCCGGTGGGCGAAAATGCCTCGTTGATGTCAGAGGTCGGAGGAGAACGGCCAGACTGCTTCAAGCTGATAATTCAAAACAAGCACTCTTCGCAACCAAGGCATGCAGAATCTCTGAAAGCACAACACATGGAATCTTGAAGCAGACGAGACCAAACCTGGACAGCAGAAGATTGGAAGACACTGACGAGTCTTAATTTCTGTCTTGTATTAACAGTTCAGTATGGTGGTGGTGGTGGTGTTAGGGATATTGTCTCAGCATGCTCTGGGCCTCTTAATATCAGCTGAGCATCACCTAAATGTCACTGTCAAGTATTGTTGCTGACTATGTTCTTCCCTTTATGACCACAGTGTGCCCATCTTCTGATGGCTGCTTCCAGCAGGATAATGGACAATGTCACAAAACTGGTTTGTTGATCATGACAGTGAATTCACTGCACTCAAGAGGCCACCGCAGTCACCAGATTTCAATCCAACAGAGCACCCTTGGGATAAAGAATAAAAGTAGCTCTGAAGGCAAAGGGAAGTTCAACCTGCAGGGTGTACCTAACAGATTGGCTGATGAGTGCGTTTAATAACATTTTTTTAAAGTTAAGTAATTGCCTGCCAATTTTCTCCATGCAAGAGGACACAATGCACATTCACAGAGCAGACATACACTGATGGTAAAAAAGCTTTTAAAGACTGCAATTAGGGGGTCGACCAGAAACAGCACGCGGATGTCTTAGGTAAAAAACATCGTGTCCTGTACACAGCAGCAGAGACTAAATTTATTTCCAACACAGCTTTCTAGTTTACCAGGAAAAGATTGAACTATAGAGTCAGCCTTAGCTTGCTCATCCCATCAGCATTTCTGTTGTCTGAGAGCGAGAGAGATAGTGATGGAGAGAGAGAGCGAGAGAGATAGTGATGGAAAGAGAGAGAGAGAGAGAGAGATGGAAGGGGTGGTAGGTGAAGAGAGAGAGATAAGGAAAAGGAGGGGTAGCTGTGATTCTGAATGGACAGCACTGCACTGGCAAGACAAGATTAGAATTGACAGCCTGGTAACTGCGTCACTATCAAAACAGCAAAGAGAGAGAAAGAGAGAGAGGGGTGGAGGTGGATTTGGGGAATAGTGAAGAAAGTGAGATGCAAAAAAAAAAGAAGA